CCCCAAAACCCCAAAACCCCATAATCACAGAGACTTGGACTTGAAAAATACAATTCCATGACGTAATCAGTTAGAAATAATTTTATATGGATTGATTAACTATTTGGATCTTTGGAAATATCCAATTATTGCCATAACTCTCTAGAGAGCCAAAGAGCCAAGCATTCAAGATTGGAACCTCCTCAATCCAAATTGATTGTTTTGAATATTAGATTGATCTAACTAAGCGAATTCCTCATTGAAGGAAGAGAGCAGCTGCATCATTGGCATTGCTTGCATCTGAGATGCATTAATCAAGTTCTTACTTGGTCTTGCTCATGTGCATTTGACAAATAAATTTATAAGTCTTTCTCTTGCTCTTAGTTAATAGTCCCAAATCAGTTACATAGATGCTCATGGCAGTCTCATACTCAGTGCTATCGTTAGGGTCGAATCCTAGCTTTGCAACAAGATATTTGTAGGTTAGCTTATCATCGGCCTCAAGCTTGTTCTTGAAGTCTTTCAAAGCAGAGGCAGTGAGTTAGTTAAGACCGAAGTCTGACAACAAGACACTTCTGAAGGGAAGATTTGAGGAAGATATCTCAGATTTGCTTACTGCAAGCAAATTCAAGAATGTCAATTTCAAGTTCTCAGGGATGAAGGTTGAGCTATCAATCTCGAAGACTGCATAACCTGGGTTTTGATTCTTGACTGGAGAGACTCCTGGAGCTACGAGGATGTTGTGATAGAAGTCTTTGTTTTTGTCGTCACCATTAGAGTGATATCTTACATCAGCGAAATGGTCATGAGCTGACACCTCAAGCACGATTTGGTTTCTAAACTCGTAGAGAATGCTAAAGAACTGATCATTGAATCCATCAACGAAGAGATCCTTTGAATCTCCTACATACTTAGCTCCTGGATAGATGTGATTTGTGACTATGAATCTTCTTTGAGGATTTTGTGTGAATTGATCTCTAATCCAAGTGATGTGATCTTGAGCGTCATTTCCTTGTTATGAGATATCATTTTTCTCATTAAAATAGAGCGTGTTTACGGCCATAACACTCAAAGTTGAGTCAATATCTGCTCTGTAGTAACCACCTTTCAGCATGGTTGACTTGATGGTTCCGAAGTTCTTTAGGTTTGAATTGTATGATTAAGTTTGCATCCAGTTTTAGTAGATAAATCCATAGTACTCATCTTTATCATCTTCGTTCAAGGCCATGTAATGATATTTAGGATCATTATTTCCTAAGCTGGGAAGTACGAATGTATTTGGGAAATACTTGGCGAAAGTTTGGGATACACTTGAGATTGTTTGCTTCAGAAGTTCATAATTTCCCTTTTTAGGATTAGATGGATCCAAAGGTAGACCATGTGCAACTAGATCACCAGGCATTATGATGAAATCCAGGTGGCCCTCTGAGCTACTAATTTTATCAAGAAAAGTTTCCAAAAGTGAGAGTGGGGGATCGCATCCATACTTTCCAAGAGCTTCATCAGCTGATTTAGTAAGCAAGTCTAAATAAGTTAAGTTAGGAATGTAAACAATAATGAGATTGTAATAATGGAGGTAGGATAAATAATTTATTTGATAATTATAGGTAGACATCATTAATTGTATATAATAGAAGAATGAGTGAGTAACTAGACTTACGAGATTCTTTTATTTCTTTGGAGACACCATCTGTGCAGGTCTTGGCATCATAGTTTAAGTCAACATGGAAATCATTGATGACTGCAACTTTGTATGCTTATGAAGCTGTCAAACACACAGCTGATAGATATAATAAAGTATTTTTACTCATTAAATATTATAATTCATTAATATAAGTTAGCTGATATATAAATAGAATCCTTATAATTATTGCTAATATTCCCTTAAAAATCTTTTAAATTTTTATAAATATATTTAATCCTAATCTCACTTATTCCATATCAAAGGGGTTTTGGGGTTTTGGGGTTTTGGGG